CATGCGCATATGCGTTTATGCATGGTGTTTAATGTATAATGGACAATATAAGCTAGGTTAAAATTATCTAATTATCTATTTCAGTTAATGTTGGAGATTGCATTGTTCCTTAATCTTCTAATTGGATCCGGCTTATTATTTTTTGCAGACTGTTAGAGCAATTTTATAAAAAGTAAGCTTGAACTTTCGATTATGGCAAAAAGAGTTTCCGATTCTGGAGCTGCCAAAGGATGTTTTGATGTACCGCTTCCAATAGTGTGACAGACAGGTTATTGAAAACGAAAAAATTTCAATTGACAAATTAGTCGGTATTCAAGACACAGCAATTACAGGACTTGAACAGTGGAACAGAACAAGAAATTATGTCTGTTTATAGAATCAAAGAGAAAGTATTAGCACAAAAAACGAAGCAACTTAAACAACTTACATTGAAAGAAATGTTTAATAAATATTAAGCTTTTTTTTTGTAAATTTTGATACCCTTTAGATCATAATTGCTCTTTATTTCATGAATTACAGTTTCCTATTTTTAATTTTATAATTTCTGCATACCATCTTACCAGATTTAAATTGATGATCTATAATCTGGAAAAACCCCTAATCTGGAATCGCCAAAGTCCCGATGAGTCCGGATTAAACACTTTGTACTGTATTGGAAAAAATGCCCTTATCTGGATAAATGATTTCTCGAGGGACAGAAAAATTAAAGCATGGTGTAACAGATGTGCATGCACGAGCAAGTAAATCCTTGGTGTTCCGTAAGGTTTGAGCCCCCTTCTCACACGTGCACAAAATATGTTTACGAGTGCACGTTTAACGTATAACGGACGGTATAAGCTAAGCTAAAATTATTTAATTATCTATTTCAGTTAATGTTGCAGATTGCGTTGTTCCTTAATCTTCCAATTGGATCCGGCTTATCATTTTTTGCAGACTGTTAGAGCAATTTTATAAAAATAAGCTTGAACTTTTGATTATGTCAAATAGAATTTCTGATATCTATTTATTAATATGTAAATGATCTACAAAGCGAAAGTATGTTTCGAAGTTCATTAAACAAAAAGTGGAATTGCTACAAAAAATGGATAAAGGCATATCCTTTGTTTGTCTAAACTTTAACGTTTGTTTATCTAAACTTTGTTTACCTGTAACGCCGCGGCGCCGCGCAATGAATTGGAAGTTGATCTGTCAGCACTATTCTTATCTTCAGGGCAGATGTTTTTATTTTATTTGGATTGTAATTCCTTATTAAATATAGTATTTCATCTCGATGTACTCCATCTTTGATATGATTTAAATCAAATTCCTCGTCATTATGATTCACTTCTGATAGCGAAGAAAGTAAGCAAAGGTTATTGAAAACGAAAAAATTTCTATTGACAAATTAGTCGGTATTCTCGACACAGCAATTATAGGACTTGAATAGTGGAACTTTGTAACTGAACAAGAAATTATGTCTGTTTAAAGAATTAAAGAGAATGTATTATCACATAAAAAACGAAGCAACTTAAACAACTTACATTGAAAGAAATGTTTAATAAAGTAAACAAATAAATATTACGCTTTTTTTTTTTTTTTTTTTTTTTGTAAATTTTGATACCCTTTAGATCATAATTGTTTTTTATTTCATAAATTACGGTTTAATATTTTTAATTTTATAATTTCTGCATGCCATCTTACCAGATTTAAACTGATGATCTATAATCTGGAAAAATCGATAGTCCGGAATCGGCGAAGTCCCGACGAGTCCGGATTAACGACTTTTGACTGTATAGAGATATGATGAATTCAAAATTATACATCCATCATTATGCATAATGATGCATTTGCCTTCCATGTTCATGCAAAATACTCAGCCATAATAATCATGCCATCATATTGCCTCATAACGCATAATATAACGAACATGCCCAAAATACTTGGGAATCACCTTAGATGCAGAATTGAAATTCACTGAACATGTTAAAACCTGTGAAGACAGAGCTTAGAAAAGATTAAGAATCATTTAGTCTTTGTAGAAGTTAAGAGATTTTCCTGGGACCCTTAGAACATACACCTCACTAAAGATCACAGAGTATGCTTTTGCTATTTGGACTCATACTTCCAGGACTGTCTTGAGGAAATTAGAAAGTGTCCAGGCAAACACCGCAAAAATCATTACTGGTATAGTACCCTCCACCAATAATTTAAAACTAATTTAGGAATGTGGCCTGGAAAAGAAGAGAGTATAATTTAATAAAATTTACAAACAAAGCAAGAAACAGCGTACCACAACACATTGCTACGAATATCTTTGAAAACTACAATGGCAGTACTAGACTGAAATGGTCATCAATTTGATAAAGATATTAGAGCAGTTTTAAGTCTCGATCACAATAAATTCTCCATCTTCCCTTCATCAACAAGATTCATTTTCACCTAAGCAAGTTTCAAAAGTTAGATAAAGTCTGCATTCTTCAATGGTTGCCAGTACATGTGAACATCACAGGTAATGAGAATGCAGATAAACCGGTAAAAGAGACTTGGAATCTCAACAATAATAATAACGTAAATGTCACCATCTCGGATGCAAATGCCGTGGCCAAATACAGATTGAAGGAACATTCAATTCCAATAAAGCACCAGGTCCGTAACATCAATGCAGATCGACTTATGGCTAAAACCATGGTCAGACTAAGAACTGGCCATTACAGAAGATTGAAAATTGACAGAGAGAGTAGGAAAACCTACAGAAACTGTGATGCTGCCCGGACACAGAACTGACACAATTTTTGATTATCTGGCCATCCTTCCTGAATATTTAAAATATTAGTCTTGTTCAAACAACGTTCAAACATGGGTCACGATGACAATTCTGGCTATCAATAGCCAGAATCGTGACCCATGGACCTATTTCAATAGGTTTTATCATAGACACAACAAAAATCATCCCCCTACTTTCAAAAATTCAAAATATATATGTATGCATTGATTTAGAGAGAAAATATTGATAAATCCTGTCATTTATCTGGCTATGGTCAACCAATCATCTGCCTCCCATTGTGGCAAAAATCCAGCAGGTGAGACAGACAGAGTGAGTGGCACACGAGAGTTGTCTGCAGAACTTGTGATAGGGCATTTGAGTTAAAACGGAGTTATTTTCTTAAATCATAATGTATCAGCATGTAAATATTCTGTACATAAAAGTCATGTTTCTGGATATAATAAAGCGTTAAATTTACAATCACGTATTGTGTCATGTCTCTGCCATCCCGACAAGTACGACAAATACTATAACCCAAAAATGTAGTTTTTTATACTTATAAGCTAAAGTTATATATATATATATATAAGCTGAGTAAAAGGCTGATTGCATTCCTTTCCCGGAAAATATGAAATTCTCCCTGGTTAGAGACCCTCAATCTGCACAAAAAATATGTAATTTAAAATTTTAAATCTAAAGTGAAAATGAGGAATTTTATCTATTTAAGATGAAATATTTAAAGGCTGCATTTTTATAGCTTCTGAAGAGAGTTCAATAACATAGAATATGTATTCAGAAGCAATTTAGCAAAAGTTAGCAAACTCCAAAAAGTTAAAGAGCAATCTGAAAACATTCTACAGGTAACTATGTTGTATTTAACTTTCAAAAAAATGAAAATTAGAAACAAATCTTTGACACACATTCATTTAAGCAAGATGATTTAGTTTATTTAATTACGACAAAGCATTTGAGGGCTATCTGCCTAAGGGCAGGGATGCCTGTGTGGAGACTTCCTAAAAGAAACTAACTTGAATGCATGTTACACATGGGAGAAAAACTACAAAAATGTCCATGCATCCAGTCTATTTGCTGTGATTCAAACCTCGGACCAAACCAGTGTTCATTGACTTTACCACTCACCTGCTTGTGGGCTCACTCTAGTAAGAATATGAGGAATAAAAGTACCAACGTTCTAATGCATAGAGTGATTACTACTACATTCTTGCATAATCATACAGAATCAATTCTTCACAATCCAGACAAAGGATGAGACCGTTGTTATTTCTACTCTTCAGACACCACTAAAACATCCAAAATCTTTTCAATCTAGTACTGACTTTGGTTGATTTATTTTAACTATGGAAATTATAAATATAAGAAATTAATGGATTCTAACTTGTCATAAATCGATTACCCAAACAAAGATCAGTGAGTAAGGGGTTCTCAATTCTTTTTTGTTCCATGCACTCCTTTCGCCATTGCTAGACCATCATTCTATCATCTCCATTGCCTTTCTAAAACTTGAAATATATATATACATTTGTTTAACTTTAGATTATCTTTTAATGCATTTATAAATTAAACAAGGAAAAGTATATTAAACTTGAACAAAAGTAGTTTTTAATACTTATAAACCAAATACATAACAGGTAAAAGGCTGACTTTATTCCTCCCCCTACAACCGGTTGAGAATTAGTGCATATTGAAAAACTGCTTTTCATCTGGATAGCAGAAAAACACTTATGCATAGTATTATTTGCAGGGCTTCGTTTATGCACAGTACATATTTCACTCATTGTATTTGCATTTTGGTATTAAACAGTGTTATAAGAGGATTATTATGCAAAAGAAATCTTTTTTTAAAAAGATATTAATTATTTTCGCTGTTATAGGAAAATTTCGTATGGTATACGTCCTAAGATCTAGAACATATACTGTAATACCACTGTATTTTGCCTTCATTTACATTAAAATCAAAAATGATTATCTTAAAATTCGCTGAAAACAAATTTAATTGAAAGCAATCTACATTTACAGTTAATAACTATAGCAAAAACTAAGATGGTAACATAAATTTCTACATGCACGTAACCTAAAAATATGAATTTTATTATATTTAAAGTTAAGCAACTAATATTTATTATAAACGGGGAAAAATCAACAATTTTGTAGCTATATGAGCAAGTTCTGCATGTTCCTTTATCATTTATCGTGTTCTTAAAACAATATGGAATTAAAAAAGAAAAAGCAAGTTTACCTGCATTACTGCTGAGACCCGACTGTATAATACCAACATTATGCTTAATAATGTCAAACATCGCTTCACATTAACCAGACCTAAATACTTAGCCATATTAAAATTTGTGTGATATATCTAAAGTTTCTTAACTGAAGAAAACATGAACTATGTAAACAAAGCAGACTTCTCTCACAGATGACCTGGTGGAACCGGTGTTGCCAAAAAAGGTTAAACTTATTTAAATGTTGAACGCCCGACAGGTAACTCGGCAAAATTTTTTGCGAATCTACCTAGAAGGAATTAATTAGAATAATTGTTCTTAATCAGTCTTCAAGACACAGATTTAACCATTGGTATAAATAATAAAAATTCATAACTAAAAATTAGGAGTGATCGCATGAATTGGTTCTTTGCTGGTGGCGTCATCTTTCGTTGCAAGCGTCGTCAACAATAAGAAAGTTAGAATTTTTCTGCTGAGAAGAAGACCACTCTAGTGACCTGTAATAATTCGCAACTTAAAATTTTAATTTGATAGGAAGAGTGCTTGTGCACAGGTTTCCTCGTGCTTGCACCATTTTATTGGTTCTGTTTGCTAAATTAATCAGATCAAACGTACAGTTACCATCTGAGAACAGACTGAGGATATGTTCTCTGTGTTTAGCGTGCCATTGCAATTTACATTAGTTTTAGTATTTTCTTAAGAGAAAAACTTCACTGTATTTTGAGAGATACAAAATTAAATTAATTTACAAACTTTAATGATTAAAAATTAAGAGATTGTTATAGCAATGGAATCGAAGTCTGGAAATTCCGTTTAGTTATATATAGTATTTGAAATATTTTAATTATAAAATACAATATCCTTGATTGCTTCATTCATATGCATGGTATCCATATTACGGAACTGAAGCCAACTGTTTTCAACACATTTTAAGATTTCTGCCATCAGAGTAAAGTAAATATATATTATGAAACGAAGCTGACATATTTTGAATAGTCTTAGTTAGATTTGCTAATAATAGCCTTTGGTATTTCTAGAATAACCAACGACAGAACAGACGAACATATTTCTATTATAATGTGTTTTCTCCCCTCTTTCTGGATGCCTTCGTGGTGTTATTGGAAGCACACTCGACACGTATTCGAGAGGTTCAGGGTCCGAGTCTCGGCGGCACAACTGTACATTTTTCATGTATCCTGTTTCTAATGACTCAACAGTGGCGCTCGAACTGAAAGTTGGTGGACGGATTTCTGGGTCCCCTAATTCCGATTCGCTCTATAAAAGGTAAGGAAATATATATAGTATTCTTCGCGGTATTTCCTCTCTTCCTTCTCGCATGCCTTCGCGGTATAATTAGAAGCGTGTTAGAGAGATCCAGGGTCGAGTCGAGGCGAGGGCACTGCCCACTTTGAAAGTCTTACAGTTAAAAAATACCTAATAACACCACACTATGTTTTTAATTTTACAAAATTAAATTTTTTCCAGTGCTGAATCTTAGATATTTACCTCGAAAGATATTGCTCAAAAACATATTAACATTCCCGAATCAACCAGAGGCGATTAACATGTATTGCTGAGGTATTTATTTACTTCCAAGCCTCCTGACCTATCTGGTGGAACAAGTGAGGTTTTGCATTTATTTTCTTCAATAACAACAATAAACTAATAATGCTTATAAAAAGATAAAAGTAGTTGTATAGGGAGGAGTTAGTAAAAGAGCAGGCTGATAAACCGCGAGCCCAGCGACAACAGAAAAAAAACCCTTAATAAACTAAATCCTTTCAAACATTTCCTTTTCTTAATAGTACGTTTTTGTTTTGAGTGCTGTGTTATTTTACATAGCCAAATAAACTTGTCTTGAGTTTTATTTAATGTAACACATTTTATTCTCCTTTCCTGCAATTTTAACTGCAGTCGCGATAACCGTCAATGGACTAAACCGTGAGTGTGTATGGGTAAATCTTCAATTGCTGTAGCTGCTTTTATATTACCAGTCATGATACAAATGTCAAACATTTTTGCTTCTAAAGCAACAGTCAACCTAGCAGGGAATGTTGTTGTTCCAAGGCGAAAATATTTCAAACACGTGACATCAGTTATCACCAGAAAAATATTCTCTTATAAATTTCAAGCTCAAAAATATTGAATATAATAAAAATAACATTAAGAACCCTGTTCTCTAAAGGCAGATACGATATTTATCTTTAAATGTTACAATATTATCTTTACAACTAGAACATTATTATTTACAATTATGCAATGGCGGGCTGTGGCCGGCACGAGACATAATGACTCGTTTCGAATGGCACGTGGGTCCCGAAGCAAAATTATTCTGTCCACGAATATATGTTTCGTCCTACTGCTCCTGCTCCTCTTGCTGACTCTTGCTGTTCCTTCTCATGCTGCTCCTCCTCATTGCTGCTCTTTTTCCTGCTGCTCCTCCTCCTCTGGCTGTTCCTTCTCCGGCTGCTCCTCCTCCTGCTGCTCCTCTTCTTGCTACTACTCCTCCTGCTGCTCATCCTCCTGCTGCTCCTTCTCCGGCTCCTGCTCCTCATGCTCTTCCTCCTCCTGCTGCTCCTCCTCATTGCTGCTCCTCCTCAGATTGCTCCTCCTCATCCGGCTGCTTCTCCTCCTCATGCTGCTTCTCCTCCTCATGCAGCTCCTCCTCCGGCTGCTCCTCTTAATTGCTGCTCCTCCACATTGCTGCTCCTCCTCCGGCTGCTCCTCTTAATTGCTGCTCCTCGCCATGCTGCTCCTCCTCATCCTGCTGCTCCTCCTCCGGCTGCTCCACCTCCTGCTGTTCCTCCTCCTGCTGCTCCTCCTCCACCAGCTCCTCCTACGCCTGCTCCTCTTCCGGCTGCTCCTTCTCCTCCGCCTGCTCCTCCTCATGCTGCTTCTCCTCATTGCTGCTCCTTTTCATATCTGCTCCTCCACCGCCCGCTCCTCTTCATGCTGCTCCTCTTCATATTTGCTCCTCCTCCTCACGCTGCTCCTCATAATTTCTGCTCCTTTTCCGGCTGCTCCTCCTTCGGCTGCTTCTGAGTAGGAGCAGCCGAAGGAGGAGCAGCAGTTGGATGAGCAGCGGGAGGAGCAGCAAGAGGAGGAAGAGGAGCAGCAGGAGGAGGAGCAACAGAAAGAGGAGCAGGCGGATGAGGAGGAGCAGCAAGAGGAGCAGGAGCAGCAGGATGAAACATATATTCGTGGGCAGAATAATTTTGCTTTGCGGCCTACATGCCATTCGAAACCATTCATTTTACCACTTGCCGCCTTCAAGCCGCCATTCCATAATTATAAACAATAATGTTGTAGTTGTAAAGATAATATTGTAACATTTAAATGATGAATATCGCATCCGCCTTTGGAGGAGAGGAGTAATCTTAAGATTATTTTTATTAGCATTATATTATCTTAAGATTATTTTTATTAGCAATTTTTATTAGCATATTACTATTTTTAACTTGAAGTTTATAAGAGAATATTCTTCTGGTGGCAAATGATGTCACGTGTTTGAAGTATTTTCGCCTTGGAACAACAACATAATGGCCTGCTAGTTTGACTGCTGTTTTCGAAGGAAAAATGTTTTTCATCTGTACCATGACTGGCAGCTACAGTAATTGAAATTCACCGAAACACACTCGCGGTTTAGTCAATTGACGATTATCGTGACTGCAGTTAAATTTGCAGGAAAGGAGAATAAAATGTGTGATAATAAATAAAATCTAACAGTTAATAGTTTAACTATGTTTTGAAGCAATTTAAATTGTAGAAAAGTTTATTTGGCTATGTAAAATAACACAGAACTCAAAAGAAGAACGTACTAATCAAGAAAAAGAAAATATCTGAAAGAATTTAGATTGTAACTTCGTATCAGAGAGTTTGTTAAGGTGTTTTTTTCCTGTTGCCGCTGAGCTCGCGGTTTATCTCCTGGTGTTGGATTCACTCTTCCTGACACAACTACTTATACCTTTTTGTAACCATTATTAGTTTATTGTTGTTATTGTTATTGAAGAAAAGAAATGCAAAACCTCACTTGTTCAACCAGATAGGTCTTGAGGTAAGTTATAACGTTGCGCGCCTCTAACTAGCACGCAACCAAGAGGTGACTGTGAAAGCTTGTATAAACCACAGAGTCTTATAAAGGGTTTAAGTCCCTTTTTATTCAACGTACTAATTTACAATTGCGTTCTCTTGACGCTTACAAACGGTGCCAACTCGGCAGTCAAATAAAAATAAAAATAAAAACCTGAAAAGAAATTAAAGACAATATTCTAACTACGAGGCTCTCTCAAATAACTAACTCACCGCGTTTTACAATACCGCTGCTAATTCAGCAGACTTGAAGCTCACTGGAACAATTGCAACTACTTCCCGCCAAGCATAGGCCGCAACGCGGGGTTTTTCAAATCTCTATAACTACCTCCGCGCTCGCTAAGTAAGAAGAACTCTCTCTCACCGAACTTGTTTCCTTCTATTTAAATCATACTACTTCCGCTGATAATTTGAATGCTTGCGCGTTCTACTCAAATTTACATATTCTGGCATTGGCAGTTCCAGGGGAAAGTAAGGCTTGACAGGAAAGATAGTTTAAACTTAAAATAAATGTTAGTTAAAATAAATATAAACCCTACATTTGCCGCTGCCAGAATTTGGAAAACTTGGAAGCAGGTCCTACAAACGACCTGTTGTAAGTTTATCTAATTCTGAACTAACTGGCGAAAGCCTCGTTTACACAAAAAAAAATCTTATGTAACAATATTAAAATTCTGTTACTCTTTACAAAGGTTTCTTCTTACAGCAACTTTTCCTGGACTTCATCAATCAATCTTGGTCTTTCCTTCCAGCATCTGGAAGGAATAAGTATCAGTATCTTTCTACATACATTATAATTTACACTTTCTTGACACAATAAATTTTTGTTTTTAACGTTTCGTTTTTCTTAGTTATTGCTTACTTCACATTCATTCAATTTTTCAAGCATTAATTTAACTTTACCCTGGCTCTCCACCGTGTGTGGTGTCAAACGGGAATATTCGTGTTTTAGTCTTACAACACTTCCCCTAACCACCATGATTTGTTAGAATTCAACAACCAAATAGACACACCTTACTCGACATTCTACAACTCAATGAGCTACTTTAATATTCTTAAAAATTCAAATGTAGGTGGAGAACCCTACAAAACACATTCATTCTAACTTCCCCCTCATTCATCTTTAAACATGCAGGCTTTCGCTCTAAAGCATGACTTTACAGTTTAATACTTAAATTTTGACTTCATTGCTTTTTAAGCATTCACTTTTAGCATCTACAATTTTATGCTTCTAGACTAAATTCTACTTTTACATAACATTCAAGTATTTACATACATTTACAAAATTTTAATACATATGCTTTTTACAATTTACCATAAAATGAATAAGAGAAAATAAATTTTTACTTTACTCATTCCTTCGCCAAGCTGGCGGCACTGAAACTAAAATTCTTATTAGTAATACAAAAAGAATACGAAGTTATTTTTATCTCCGGCCAAAATTTGGCTTTAACATAACAGAATTAGTCTTTCGACCAACAGAAAATGCTTGTTTTTAGCTTTTACACTTAAAGAAAAATAATACTTTTGCCTTAGCTAAATAAAGTAAAACAAAACTAAGTCTCAACCGAGACATATTGACTTTCGTCAAAACATAGAACTTCGTACTTATGCATAACATTTCGGAACAAAAGAGAAAAAGATTTATAGAAGGTTTTAACTTATCTTTGAGTTTTCGATGCTTGAAACTCCGTCATCCGTTTTTGGACAAAATTGATCCCAAGTTAGAGGGTGTCATGGATGTCAATCTTCTCCTTATTGATCTCCGAGTGTCGTCCCCGTTGATCTTTCTTTTGCGTCCTCTACATGCTGGCCTCTTGACGGAGTAATCGTCTGGTTGTTGGCTTTTGCGTTTCTGCCTGGGACGGCTGGTCTTGACGTCCTCCGGTCTGGAGTCCTTGAATTTCTTCTGTTCCTCGTATTTTTGTGCCTCCTGTTGGCGTTTCAGTTTCCGGAACGGCGGCCTTGCTGGCACCTGACTCTGTGGCCGTGTGCGCGTTCTCCTTGATGTGTAATTTCTCCTGCCATCCTTGTAGGTGGTGTTTTCGTCTTTACCACGGTTTCTTTACCCGGTTCATCTGTATTTTTGTTTTTCTTAAACGCCGGAGTTTGAAATCATTTTTTCTTTTTGATACCGGACGTCCGGGTTGTAGAAGTGCTAGGTCTCTCTTCAGTTTCTCGTTTCTTGGGTGGTGGAATAGTTGTTGCAGTCTCTGGCCCTTCTATTTCGTTTAGACTTGAGTCCTGCAAGAAACTTTTAAGGATTTCAAAATCATTTGGATTATAGTATTTTTTCACCTGGTCGGGACTTGCTTTACAGATTTCCCCTCTCTCGTTTTTAAGATATAAAACTACTCCTTTGATTTCCTGAATTACATAGGGGCCTTCAAACTTTGGAGCTAGCTTTGCCATAAAATTGTCTGGGGCACTTGATATAAGAAAATTTCCGTTTCAATACTTTATCCCCAACTTTAAAATCTGCTTCACGGCGTTTTTCTATCATAATAAATTTTTGCCTATTTCTTGCCGTATCCGAGGTTTTAAGCGCCTGATCAATTAGTTTTTGCACGTCCTTTTGTTTAAATTCCTGCTCTCTTTGTTGCACAAAGAATAATTTATCTAAAGGCGTAATTAACTTTCTGCCTAAAAATAATTCTGCTGGAGTTTTTCCCGTAGTATCATGATGTGCCGTTCTTAAAGCATAAGCTAATTCATTTATGTAGCCATCCCAGCGCTTGTGATGTGTGCTAACGTAACTGCGAATTATTTTTACAATGTTTTTATTAACTCTTTCTGCTATGTTAGCCTGTGGTCTATACGGAACCATTTTGATATGGCGTATATCAAGTCCATTGCATATGTTTTCAAATATTTGACTAATGAATTGTTTTCCGTTATCGCTAATGACTTTTATCGGTGCACCGTATTTTAAAATGTATCTGTGTAAGAATGCATCTGCGACTGTTTTGGCTGACGCGCGTTTAAGTGGAACAATTTCTATCCATTTTGAAAAATGATCTACTATTACTAAAGAAAAACGATTTTTATTTAACTCGCTCTGGGGGAAGGGACCAAGGAGATCTATGCCTAAAATTTCATTCGGAAATGTAGCGCGAATGCTATTTAAGTACCCGGCCCGGGCTGTAATTAATATCATTTATTAACTGACATGATTGCAGGACCTGACATATACGCCGTTACTATTTTGTATAATTGCGGGAAATATACCGCCTCGCGTACCCTTTTTAAAGTCTTTCTGACCCCTAAGGTGGCCCGCTGTTTTTTTTCGTGCAACTCCTTCAAAATGCTTAATCGAAGCGAGGCTGGGATGACTGGCTTATACTCAAGATTTTCGTTTGTTGTTTTCGTATAGAATAATAAATTATCTATTATTTCATAGTTTTTTGCTCTATTTCTTATCGCATCGATTATCTGTATGCTCAAAGCCTTCGGGGTCTTTCAAATAAGCATAGATATTTCCAAATTCAGGATCAGCTTTCAGTTCAGTAATAACCGTATCTCTAGAATCTAAAATTTTTGAAGTCAACACAGCGCATTTAAGTTCATTACCTTCCTCGTCCAGTTTTATACGAGAAAGTGCGTCAGCTACATTGTTTTCCTTACCCGGTTTATATTTTATTGTGATATTATATTCTTGGAGTTTTAAAGCCCATCTTATTAACCTGGGCGTTAGGTTAGGTTTTTCCCGAGTAAAGTCTACCAACAGCCGCATGATCTGAAAAGACTGTTACTGGCGATTTGCCGAAATAAACTCGAAATTTGTGTACAGCCATTAATACGGCTAATGTTTCTCTTTCTGTAGCTGTATAATTCCTTTGTGTTTGATTCAATGTTTTACTAAAAAATGCCAGCAGCGGATGGTTTATTTTGCATAAGAACCGCACCCACCGCATAGTCTGATGCATCTGCCGCAATTTCCAGGTTTTCGTCCC